TGTGTGTGTGTGTGTGTGTGTGTGTGTGTGTGTGTGTGTGTGTGTGTGTGTGATGGTGCCATTTCGAGGTTGTCCAAAATGTATTCAACGCAACCAAATGTTGCAATGAACCTGGACAGCGGGCATGCACATCTACATATAGAGGGCATGACGAGACATCACAATGGATCTATAGGGCATGGAAAAAAAACAAACGCTACATAAGGCTCCAAGAGAACATATGACATTGTGATAATAGTGGTGTCGACCCTCGCATGATAGAAAGAGATGTAAGGCTGAAGTGGCATTAGTGCATGTCCAACCTGGGCAACATTCAACCACACCACTGCTGAGAACATCCCATAAGCTACGAACCACATCGAATGAAAGACGGACACAGATGATTATATACAAAGTGAGCCCCTCTCCCCGCCTCCAACACACATGATAAAAAAAAGAAAATGGATCGGTAGAACAAAGAGTTGAAGCAAATAAACAACCTTCTGAACAGATCGAGTCAAGTCTGGGTACACCGGGTCATGGTTGATCCATGCTGGGGTGGGGTGAAATGTTCCGCACGGGGCTTCACTTTCATCCCAACTCATTTTACCTATTGGTTAAGTGATCCACCTCTTAGGTTGTAGGTCATAGGTTTGATTCCTAGTGAGTTGATCTTGGACTTCTTCTGTACAAAAACAAACACTTACTAACCTGTCGGACGCCCTTGTGGTAGTGCTTGGTTGAAGTCTGGCTGGTGCCGTGAGTTGTCCCTGACGTGCATTCAGGTCGAGTTGAGTCTGGGTACACCGGGTCATGGTTGATCCATGTTGGGGTGGGTTGAGATGTCCCTCACGGGGCTTCTCTTTCATCCCAGCTCACTTTACCTATTGGTTAAGTGATCGACCTCTTTGGTGGTAGGTCATAGGTTCGATTCCTAGGGAGTTGATCTTGGACTGCTTGTGTTTAAAAACAAGCACTTATGAACCAGTCGGACGCCCTTGCCGTAGTGCTTGGTTGAAGTCTGGCCGGTCCCGTGAGTTGTCCCTCACGTGCATTCGGGTCGAGTGGAGTCTGGGTACACCAGGTCATGGTTGATCCATGCTGGGGTGGGTGAAATGTCCCTCACGGGGCTTCACTTTCATACTAGCTCACTTACCTATTGGTTGAGTGATCCACCTCTTTGGTGGTAGGTCTTGTGTATAAAAACAAGCGCTTATGAACCGGTTGGACGCCCTTGTGGTAGTGTTTGGTTGAATTGTGGCCGGTGCCGTGAGTTTTCCCTCACCTGCATTCGGGTCTAGTCGAGTCTGGTTATACCGGGTCATGGTTGATCCATGCTGGTGTGGGGTGAAATGTCCCTCAGGCGACTTCACTTTCATCCCAGCTCACTTTACCTATTGGTTAAGTGATCCACCTCTTTGGTGGTAGGTCATAGGCTCGATTCCTAGCGAGTTGATCTTGGACTTCTTGTGTATAAAAACAATCAAAGATCTTCCGAACGGAACATGTTGCATGAGAAAGGTGAAACAAGCACATCACCATTCTCATGCCGCATATTCATAAACGACGACAAGTTCAGGCACACCAGCATATAAAGAAAGGGGGGTATGCATGAAGATGTTACTGGACACCCCGCTACATCAAGATCATGAAAGCCTGCTGTTATCAAAGTATCTGGTCAAAGGTGATTACGTTCGAACATTGTATCCACCCATGATAAAAGATGACGAATGAAAGCCACAACATTAGACACAACAAATATACGATGTTCAAAATGGAACATGTTGGCAAAGAAAGGTGACACAAGCACAACACCCTTCTGGTGTAACATGTTACTGCACACCTCTTCAATGAAAGCCCACAAGCATGTAGAACTAGGGGGTATGCATCTAAGGTGTCACTATACACCTCCTCTCTCACATTCTCTCTCTCTCTCTCTCTCTCTCTCTCTCTCTCTCTCTCTCTCTCTCTCTCTCTNCTCTCTCTCTCTCTCTCTCTCTCTCTCTCTCTCTCTCTCTCTCTCTCTCTCTCTCTCTCTCTCTCTCTCTCTCTCTCTCTCTCTCTCTCACGTGAGTGCCGTTTGAGCTGCTGGAAGGTAGAGTGTTGAGACGCTGATGCACTGCAGGTGTCCACAAGTAGAAGAACAGCAGCTATGGCTGGTGGCATACCTCCAGAATATGGCGCCATGTGAATGGACTCCATCTCATCTCCTCTCTTCCCAACTTTAAAAGGGTCATCCCATTTCCTCTACCAATTCTCGTCTGCCTCACGTCCTCTGGGGGCTGTTGAGGAGGCACAGGTGCCCACAATGCTACTTCAGTCCGGATAATGAAAAGAATGTGGGCATCCCGTGCTTTCTTTCAATTGCAGGAGTAGAAAGGCCGGACATGTCACAAACATGGCCTCCGAGGTCGTCCTTCGGACTGCATTCCACACCAAGCCCGGCTGTTACCCCAGAACTTGGGCCTTAACAGTTATCAGGGCTGCCCCTAAAAGGTGTGACAGGCCAACCTAGTGCTGACTGGTCAGCGCTCACCAGTGAGACGGTCCACTTGTTGGCCCCTGACCAATCCGGTGGCACTGAGCGTCATCCATGCTACTTTGCCTCCTCTAATAATTTATTGTTATTATTTTTTCGAAAAAGGGCAACTTCCTCAAGATATCATCCTTGAGCTGACTGGCACCAGGTAATTCAGAATTCGGTTATTCTGTAATCGAATTGCACCTAGATTCGAACTTGGGTCTGTACTTCAAAAGTTCATCAGCGTACCAACTGAGCTAGACCTGCCCGTGCATGACTGAAGGAACAACGATCAACGTCCACCCATTACTACCAGCACTCGAAAGCTCTCTTTTACACTTCTCTTGCACTCCTCCCCTCCTGGTTGCATAACTAGCTGTGGTCATTCATCCATGCTTAGCGCAGATATTCACAGGACGCTGTACTACTACCCTGGCTCTCCCATGTCATTCTGCCATAGCCGTACATTCCAGATGAGCTCCATGTCCAGCGGGTACCCCAACAGGGGCCCTCAGGCTCAGCGTCAATGAAGGAAGTGAAGATAAAGGTCCACCCTAGTCAAACGTAAGGATCACTTATCGGTTTCCACCTCTCTTCCTTCCCATCACTAGTATTACACCTCCCTCAGCTCATCAGGCCCTATGCAGCCCTCTACTTCATCCCTCCATAGTCGTGTGCGTAACCCTCTTGCTTCTCCTTACTCAGCAGCCATTGAGGTCTTCTTCATCACCATCTTGTCCCTCCTATTCACCCCAGAGCTACACCTCACTTCTCGTTCTAAGGGGAGCTGCGGCATGTCTACCGGGTGAATGCCAAGACTACTCACGGCAGCACCTGTACCCATGCACTCTCAGCCTCTGCCGGTGCACTACGTAGGCTCGCCTGCTTTTGGGCAGGAACATCATTGCAGCCTGCGATTCACCTAAGGCCTGAACCTAACCTGATATCTTCCTTCATAGAGGCCCTGGATGATCATGACCTACTGGAAACTGCAAGACCTTTCTAGGCTCCCCCACGTTACTGGAAAATCCTACCGGCTCCTATCAAATTCTAACATTGTCCTTGGCCATTCTGGAAGCTCCCCTGAATCATCCTCTGTCCAGCCTCAGTCCTACCCCCGTAACTACAGGTATTCTCTGTTTTACTCCCCGTGGGACACAGTGACACAGCGCAAGAACGAAGTTCGTTCCTGGACACAGACTTAAACAGCCATCATCACATAGACTTTCAAACAGACAGGCAGCACAGCAATACCGGGAGTCAGACTAGGAAATCTCGGCAAAGCAGGCCAACAGATAACCACACTCAGAAAATGCAGAAATCCCAGACAGCAATAATGCAGTTCACAGCAGTAGTCACAATTCTGGACCACATTACTGATCTATTGCAATTCTGTTTGGATCTCTCCATCCCATCTATCACAACACCAAGCCGTCAACAATGACAATAAAACTCAACCAGAACAAAAAATAGTCCTCTGAGTTTTGGATCATGTCAAGCCTGTTACGGCTGGATGGTGGGTCCATTTTTCTGGTTGGATTGACAACAATTCTTCCCTTTCATAACCCGCTTTTCTATAATGCAGTTCATGGTTTGGAATGCCTATTTGCAGTTCCGTTTTGGTGATTATGTCAATGTCATAGACGCACCTCACCGTTGAAATGGGACGAAATAGCAAGAAGCTAGAAAACATTTTATCCACTATACTGGTTCCTCCTTTTCCAGTTGGTATTAAGGTGAACCCTACTGCAGTCCTGCATAAAAGGATTGAATGGTGCTTTTATCTTTTTGTGTGCCATGGTCCCCATCTGCAAATTTCTCAATGTGACAAGCAGAGATACTACAAGTACATTGATGCACAGCCATTCAGAAACCCTAACATTCTTGATGTGGACTTTGAGAATCGGATCAAGTATCTGGCGGGATGGATACAATCACACCAAAAACCTGCAATAGTGGACAAATACCTCAAGGAAGTACATTCAAACTACATCCATAGTGTAAAGAGGGCGATTGTGGACTACATGTATCAGACGAACATGCAGGAGAGGTCAAGATGGGCAATATTAAAGCTGCACTCAGACACTATGATTCCACCTACCCCCAGGTTTGACAAAACCGACCTGAAACTTTCAATGCCGTCCTTTCTATAACCTTTATCTCCCTAACCATCAAGAAATCCTTCCTGTTCTGCCCACTCCCCTCTCTTGTTTTCCAGTGTCTGTCCTCCTCCAGCTTCTTCTTCTTCTTCTTCTTCTTCTTCTTCTTCTTCTTCTTCTTCTTCTTCTTCTTCTTCCATTTGCAGTGAACTCAGTTCCGGAAGCTCACCTGTCCAACGTATTGCATGCATGAACCCAACACATGAAACTCAATTGATAAGAAGATGATGAAAGGAAGAAGAAGAAGGTGGAAGAGGAGCGAATGATAATAATTCATCAGTAATCTACGACTATGTTATGAACCCGGTACACTGCACAGGGAGATAGAAACACAGCGAAAGACTTGACCATGCGATATGACAAAGTACACTGAAAGTGCAATTTACTCCACAGAGTCCTCACAACCAGTCACAAAGGAAAGCCGAGTAGATCACATCCAGAAAACAATGAAGCAAAGATAGTTCGGACACAGTATCCACACTGTTTATTATGCTCAGAGTCTCGATATGTCAGAATAACCCCAGAACTTTGATGCGCTGCTCAGAAATGAGCAGCGCTTCTTTCCCTAACCCTGAGTAACCGCTATCACTACCCCTGAGCCCCTGAAACAACCAGTGCCACCCAGATACTGCCCCTAGTGGGAAGCGACACCCTAAAACAGGCCTCTAAGGCCAAGCGCCTCTCAGAGGATGAAGAAGAAGACCAGCGCCACAGTCTCTGATGATGATGAAGTGCCAGAAGACTTCCCGGGTGGAAATCTGTTGCAGCGCTACCTCTCCTGACAAAGATGATCTCTGAGAATGAAAGCTGTAGCTATGGCTGCAGCGCCACACACCTTGACACCCTACTCCTGAGGAGGGATCAGCAGGGCACCAACTTTTCTTGCCTCCAGCAGACTTCACATAGCCCGGGCCTCTGAACAGCCCCGTGTGCTGTCAGAGAACAGCGTAGGTCCCAGCTATGGCCGATGTTTCGAAGGTCCGGCTATGCCTGTCTCCACCAACGCTGAAGCTGTACCACCACCAGTTCATCCGTTGCATAGCCGCCATGTACACAGTACCAACTGCCAAAAGTCTCGAACAGTTTTCCCTACACTTATTCATAGTCCGGCTATGCCTGTCTCCACCAACGCTGAAGCTGTACCACCACCAGTTCATCCGTTGCGCAGCCGCCATACCAACTGCCAAAAGCCTCGAACAGTTTTCCCTACACTTATTCATAGTCTACCCTAGCCTAGACACGACCTAGACTGGACTGACTGGACTCACCGGCACCGATTCAGTTCGGCCTCCAGGGCCTCTCCCTACCCGGCTATAGGCTATAGGACCGCCTAGCAGTACAGGCCCATAGGCCCTTCTGTCCTAGTGGTAGCCCGGGTCTGCTATTCGCAGTTAGGGTAGCTGTAGGAAATTCAGGTTAGTACGGGCTTGCAATTTTCCCAAATTTACAGATATGTCCCTCACAAATTTTCCCACAGGCAGATCTCTCGGTTAGCCCTCAGCCAAACAAAATAGCGAATCTATCCTATCTATGTTACAGCCTTGGGTCGACGGGTTAGAGGCTGCAGAATCAGCAAGTCATTGCACCTAGCTAAGCGCCTGCGATGCGAGCGGTACGGGCTATGCCCGCAGAAATAACAAATCTTCTAAGCAGCCTGACAAGGACCACTCGCATAAACTGAAACAGACTTAAAAAAGAAAAAAGGAACCACATGGTAATGAGGAAAAGCGTAAGACTAGCTCCAAAGTTTGAGCATAATTATTGACAAATTCAAAAAGTGACAAATTGAAAAATCGAGAGACGGTTAACGGAAAAATAAAAAAATCACAAAAAAAAAAGGAGAAAGGGTGAGGAGAGACAGAGACAAACAAAGACAGAGAGAAAGAAAACAAAAGAAAGATAGATAGATAGATAGATAGATAGATAGAGAGAGAGA